CCCTCCCCCGACCACCAGCACCAGCAGGGTCAAGAGAAGGTTTCCCAAAACCGGGGTCGCGCTCAAGAAGAGGAAACGGACTATTCCTTTTATAACGGAGGAGGCGGCGGAGGTGGGGGGGGGTTTCTCTGCTGTCACAGCGAAAACAAGTTTCTATTCTCAGAAAAATAAACCCCCCAGTCTTTGCAGTAAGCTGGCCTCTGCACCGTGTTGTGGAAGTCTTGGAGAAAACAGAATCAGCTCACGATTCAATTACTTTCACTCCCTCAAAGTCTCAAAGTTGCGCCTCCCTTTAAGAATCCTCTGCTTCAGAACAGGCTGAGCCAGGGCGTCGAGAAATGGGGCTCCTGGGGCCCCGCGAGGGCCAGATCACGGACAGCGGCGTTGCGGTCGAGGCGGGGGCTGAGCGCGGTCGCATGCCGTCTGCGACAGCCCCCCACCAGACACGCCCTGCCCCTGCCTGCGCCCTCCCTGCGACAAAGTCAAAACTACAGCCGGATCCCACCCCAGGGCGCTGCTGTACCGCCTGGGCACCGGTCACAGCGCGCCTCTCTTGCACCCTGCCGCGAGGGGCTGGACGCTGCAGACGGGCAGCACACCGGCACCCTCCCCCCCCCCTGCATTAAGACAGAAACGGCTCCCTCTGCTTCTCCAGACGCAACAGCCAAACCCGCACCGGGGGACACAAGCGGCGGGCGAAGGGGGAGCGCATTTAAAACCCAGGACAGGAAACGCTTCTGCGCGCAAAGGGTAGCGGGAGCGTGGAACAAGCAACCCAGCCTGGCCCGGGTGGCCGAAGCCGAGACCCCCCTGGAGACGAGACCCTCGAAGCGGTCAGCTCCTAACTTCCAGAAGAGCCGGGGTGTCCGAAGGGTGTCTGCTGCCGTTTGGGGCGTGGGGCAGCATGAGGAAACTGCGCAGCAGGGAGGTGAACGCCCATTTATTATCATTAGTGCTTAAAGCCGATGATAATTGTGGTGCTCAGTGCCTTGTCCCAGAGGGCGTGTTGGACAGGGTGCCTGGCACTGCTGTCGCTGCCTGTGCGTCACTGCGCTCCGTGTGTCACTAACCCCCCCTCTGTCACCCCACCCCTGGTGGCTGTGACCTTCCATGTGTATCCTCCTCCTCCTCCTCCTCCTCCCTCGCTCGCTCAGTCCACTCGGCCTTAAAGGCGCAGGGCCGGACCAGTGCGGCCTCCCCCCCATCTCCCTGGGCCTCTCCCTCTCTCTTCCCCTCTGTCTTCCAGCACCAGCTGCAGTGTCGGCGGCGAACAGCAG